CACACACAGCTAAAGTAGGTTAATTTCCGCTTTCCGAGAAACCCGGGCGAGGTGGAAAGAGACACAAAGACACAACTTTACAACTTTACCTTTACTTTACAAAGAGGATGAAGACAACTCTCCCAAAACGTCACTGTTGAGCTGCTAGGCAATCTTTACGCGACGCTAGCTGTTAGCCTACTTAGCTCGTTCGGAGGAGAACAGGTGTGATTTGAAGTCACAGCCGACGCCATTGAACGCAACCTCAGGTAACGCGTAGGGCTGGTTGGCGTCAACGCTCACAGTCCTTACCTTTTCTATCGCCTCCTGTCGCGCCTGTCGTTTACTCTCTTTTCTTTCATCGATGCTGCTCGTACTCTCAAAGCTGACTCCGTGCGTCGCCATGACACTGGCGTCAACGTGTTTGTTAGCTGTCGTAAAGCACCAAGGTTTACGACAGCGGTGCAACAACACAGTGGCAGTCGGAATACAACTACACTAATGAACAGGTTGGGAGGGTTACAGCAAAAATGTAATCCGATACCGTCAGGGATTACCTGTTTAATAGAGTAGTCTGTGACCTAATCCGAGTATCACAATATTAAAGTAATGTAACTTACTTTCCATTACTTCAATCAACACTATATGCAGGAAAAGACAAGAGAAAAGAGAGATCAGTGAGATGTATTGATGCAAGTTTGTTCTATAAAACTACAAAACAATGTAAACTTAGGAAAGGAAACGGAGAGCAAGATCGGTTTATTTTAAAAAACTGATGGATTTTAAAATTGTAACGCTGATAATGGTCCCCATTCTTATTTTAAGTGTAACTGTAATCTGATTACATCTTTTTTATGTTTTATGTAATAGATTACAGTTATTTTTTTTGTATTACGTAACCCGGTTTCATGTAGTTATACTCTCCAAACCTGCTAATGACTGTGTGCATAAAAAAAATACAATAACAAATCAATATGGAAGCAATTACTTTTTAAATGTTGCAGAAAGGGGCAACCACATTTTAAAGTAGTTACTTGTAAATATTGTCAATACCTATAACTATCTGAATACCAGTGTCGTAGGCTGCATCCACATATAAACGTAGACTTCAATTTCCAACATGTAACAAGAAAGTTACTGGCTGTTTACCTTTGCTTTTTATGTGTTTATGTGTATGTGCTTGCACAGCCCTTTCTGTAGGCTAAATGTACCAGGCAAAATGCTTAGGACATGGTGCTATGGCCTCTGTGGCTATTGGAAACATCAATGTGTGTCAAGTTGAGTCATTTTCATTTACATAACCCCAAATCACAACTTTGCCTCCAACGGCTTTACAATGTGTACAACATAAGACACCCTTTATCCTCAATTTGACCCAACAAAAACCCCTTGAACATAAAAAGGTAGTTAGGAAGAGCAACAGAAGATCTTCAAGGAGGGACAGACATGCAATATATGTAATATATACAGAGACAGAAACACACAGAAAGTAGTAATTGTAAAATTACAGAACATATTATTCCTGAAACGTGAATATGTTGCTTCCAGTCTTGTCGTTCAAGTTCATACGAGTGTTGGATGGGGTTGAGGTCAGAGCCTTGTGTAACAACCAAACTGTTGCCACAAAGATGAAAGCACTGTCTGAAATATATGCTGTAGCATTAAGATCCCCCTTAGTTGGAATGACCCCAATTCATTAAGAACAGCCACAGACTAGTAAAAGCACACTACAGTATGAGGACAGTTTTGGTCGAATATAAAACTCACACATATTTAATGCTAATACATCCCTCCCTGGAATTATACCCTTTTCAACGCTACACAGTCACACATATCACAACGCAAATCCATCAGGGAAGGAATCGTTACATATCATTTCACTATAAATGTCTCTTGACTCCTGTGAGCTGAAGATTTTAAATGTCTCGTAGCCTGTCAAATCAATGGGCTATACCTGCGGGAGGCATAGCTTTAAATTTTAATAATCACTCTAAATGTCAACAGACTCAACAACAATACATGCACAATAACACTACTACACACAAACGCACACATTGCTGTGCATGAAACTACAAAAGATCTCTCACACACACACACAGATAGCAGGCCGCTTTCCCTTAATCAATAAACCACTGTCAATAAAAGCCACCAAACCATCTCCTGCCTCAGCATCACAATGTGTGTGTCTGTGTGTGTCCCAGGGGACCGAGGAGCCACAGGAGTGATTTACCAGCAGCCGCTGACCAATTACCAACCTCCACAACAAAGAACCACGCTGTACTCTTCTGCCATCAATACCCAATTATCCTACAATTTATTCTGTCTTTACAGTCGTGTGGTAAAATAGGATGTTAATAGGATGTAGCGTGAACACGTGCGTGAGCGCAAGAGAGAAAGAGTGATGCAGTCATAGTTAAGTGTTCCTGCATTATTTAAAATCTAAACTGGAACACAGTATTGATCATCATCAGTTCATCCAACGCTAAAATTGACTTGTGAATACTAATGTTGTGTGATTTTTTTTTTTTATTACTAAAATTGTACTTAAATTAGCGGTTGTTAGGGTTTCTATTATATTATTGTCAGTTCCAGCACATGAAGAAGAGTTGTTGTTGTAGCTCCAATATTAATCGAATTTGAATTTAAATATCATTTAAATAATCTTCTCCAAGCCATATATTCAACTGTCAGAAAGCGAAAAAAATACCTTTTTAAATGTATTGGCCCACATTTGTACTTGAGGTGTATTTAAAATACAGTGTAATCAGATACTTCAGTTGTCAGCTACAGTACGAGACAAGACCAATCAGGTGAGAAGTAAAGGTACTGCTAAAAGTCCATTAATCATGTTTAAACTTGACATGATTATCCTTTTTCAGTACACACACTGTCACACTATTGTATTAACTTTTAGTGCTGGGCAGTATACCAGTTTCAAATTCCTGTACGATATGATTTTTTTATGCACCGCTATATAGCTGAAACAACTCATTCTTAAATAGGCAGTAAAATATATAATATTGTCAACCACAAAGAGCACTACAGTAAGGGGAAGCTTGGTAGTGTATTTTCTTGCAGTTATAACAACAATTAATAACCCAACACTTACTTTTAATATATTACAGGGCAAAATACCATGGCCCACAACAATAACAATTTTAAAATATTTTGATATTTGACGTAATAGTACACTCAACTCATCATGATATGATTTTCTCACAATTTCTTTTAACAAAATGAGCTTGAACACACTCAGAGATAATCTAGAAAATATATTTTCTTCATCAAATTATATAATACTTTTTTTTATTTCTGAGGTTGGGTATAAACTGTGTAAAACAATGCATATTTCCATTTCTTTATAAAAGGTCTTTGGTCCTTGATACCAGATTCATGTTTCATCTCACCGATTTGAATCTTCTCATATTTGTGTCGTGATTTAGCGGTCTCACGATATTTTTTGACATCCCCATTAATCAATGTACAAATACACGGGTCCAGTTGCTACCTCTGTCAGATGATTTTGAAAACACCAGCAAAATATACATTATGCATCTTGAATGTGAACAAATCACCCACAGCCTGACGCCACGTTGCACCTCGGCCCTTTAAAGTGAAAAGGTCGGGCACACACAGTCTCAGCTTGGTTACAGCTCAGTCAATTCAGAGCAGACACGCAGCAAAGTAATGAGATAAAGACTATTATTGGTGATCTACGGTGCAGTTTATACACTGTAGAAAATGTTGAAGATCCGTGTTATATAGAACCAGCCAGAGTACGTTTCTAACCAACATCCTCCTCTAAACTACACTACCTCCAGGTTTGTTTCATCAAATGTTAGTGTATAATACTGTACGCCACACTGATCCATTGTCAAGAAAGTATGAGCACAACAAAACCAGACATATTGTAAAATCTTTATATTTATTTCATAGCACTTAAAGCATTCTTAACGACTGAATCTTTGTTTTCCTTGCATTAACGCTCTTGTTCAAAGATTGTATTTGTAGCTAAATGATGATAAATTAAGTGTGTCAGTTCATCTCCTTCAAGTCCTTCTCTAATATAACACACCAGTTCCCCTGGTCATGGTAGCTACTGTGAACGCTGACTCCAGCCACCTGACAGCACAGCCGCTCCAGCTCCCCCTGCTGGAACACGTGGTAATAGCGGTGAAAAACAGGTGCTGGGCTGCTCTCAGACTCCGGCTTCAGACTAGAAGTGGAGGTCTGAGTAGCGTCACCACTTGGTTTAGAGTTTGCACTGTGAGTGGCATCAAGGGCGTCCTGACCTGATCCAGGAGACATGTTGGAGTCAAAACCTGGACTGGGGTCAGGGTTACCCAAAGTCTTTCTGGGCTTCTCTTTCCTTTTATCCTTCTTCCCACACTTTCCTGATTCTTCCTCCTCTCGTCTTTTCCCCTCTTTCAGGTGCCAGGGAACCAAAAGGTCCTGTGTGTTGAAGGCTGTGCGGTTGGTGTGCACACTGAGTTTGCCGTCAGTCACTTTGCCAACATCTTGTACCCCATCTACAGGACTGTAGTTGTCTTCTAAAGGTCTGCTGGTATGGATGCTTGATTTCCCGTGGGGTACCTGGCTGTCTTCTGAGGTGTTTTTAGTGGGGCTGTGGTTCCCAGGATGCTCTTTGTTCTGGTCTTTGAGATACTTGGACTTCTGCTTGTTGTACTCTTGTTCGAAAGCCCAG